ATTCTTTTCTTCGATCTCCTGTTGAGTTTGTAGGTGTTCAGAATGGTTTGATCCCTATCCAGCTGAATTCCTGAGAGGAGACGAAATCCAGATCTCCTACTCCTCCGCCATCTTGCTCCAACCCCCCATCCCCTTCTAAGGAATTTTAATGACTACCACTGAACCCTGGGGGTATCGAGCCACTTGTGACTTGGATATCCCTCAGAATGACTCCAGAAAGTTTTAAAGGTGCCAAAGTGACTGTTCCTGGTAATCCTGAATAATGTGCGTGCCTCTAAACTACCAGCAAAAGGTTGAGGTTTTTGCCCAGGCAGATTACAGAGAGAGCAAGACTTTGTCATTAGCAGGGAAGCCCAAGTGTATTTCTAGGCTAGAAGCTTCTTTAGGGAAGCAAGAGGATCCCTGGAGATTCTTTGCAGACATAAGACAGGGTAAAATTCAAAAAGGAAAAGCTCTAATGTTATCAAATTGGAAAGGGTTGGAGAAACATAGGTGGTAAGAAGTAGAGAGAGTGAAAAGATTGTAACAACCATGGAGGACAATAAACAGTAGAGAGTAATAAACATGGAAGACGAGAGTAAGGGGGGGCCAGAGGTGAAGGAAGATCAGTTGGCTAGGCTTCTACTACATACATCATTATCTTTTTAGTAGAATAATTTAATTCTTCTAATCAATGGCCATAGGTCAAGGATATTTTGAAGACTTGTATGATCTGTCTCTGATACTACTAATTAAGTAGAGCTAAACAAGGCCAACTAGTTATCTTTCCCCATCCAAAGTTATAATAATATTCTATTTCATTTCAAATTATAATTTGTATGGTAACATTTTAATTTTTTCTTGGCTTCAGAGTAAGATAAAGAATGGCAAATATTAGAAAGTATATATAGGTTTTTGCAATTGATAGGGTTGGTTTTTCTTTTGTCTCATTTCCAGGAACCACTTTCATCTGTTTATACCATACCAACCATATCAGAGGAAAAGAAAATGCGTAAGGATAATGTGGTTTATCTCAATTCATTGATTACCAGTGGTTATACCAAGAAAGTGGATATCACATTTATTCCACGGAGGGTAAGTACTTTGGAAAGACCTTCATAACATGTTATAAACTCATAATATCATTTTCTAAAGACTTTTTATGCAGAGCACCCAAACAAATATCCAGAGATTATCTTTCATAGTTATAATTTGAAGGTGTCCTTTTGCCAGGTCCTACTGCTTTGATTAAGTCCAACTTGTTTAGCTTCCAATATCTAGTTTCCCCTGCTACTATTTCTATATTGACATTTTAATTGTCCCTGAAAAACTATTTTTTGGTCAATGCCATTCCCTATAGCCATTTGGTCATCGAATGCTATAGATACATTTTTTTTTTTAAAGATTTTATTTATTTATTTGACAGAGAAAGACACAGTGAGAGAGGGAACACAAGCAGGGGGAGTGGGAGAGGGAGAAGCAGACTCCCTGCCGAGCAGGGAGCCCGATGCGGGACTCGATCCCGGGACTCCAGGATCATGACCTGAGCTGAAGGCAGTCGCTTAACCAACTGAGCCACCCAGGCGCCCGCTATAGATACATTTTCTTGATGCTTCTCAGACCCTAACCTTCCTCTTTGCACTCTTACTACCATTTCACTTGGGAGTTTCATACTAAGCAACACCGGATTTATTTAGTAGCTGCCTAAAACATCCACAATTAAAGAGGTGGAGACATCTTTGGAAAACAGGAGCGATCTTGCCAATGCCCATCAAACCATGCTGAATAAGAGACCACCAGCCCCCTCTTCCTTCTACTATGAAAATAATTTTCTCAGGACTTCCCCATAAGACATAAAGGTAGCAAACCCCAATGATCTAACTCTATCACTTCCTTTTTTGACATCTTAAAAATGAACAACAGAGGATCATCAGAGGTCACTAAAAAGCATTCCAGTTGTCCAAATAGTCACCATCAGAAATAGTGATGCCCATGTAGCCACTGACATCATGTAAGAGGAAAACAAAAGTTAAAATAGATTTAGAAATAAATTTGATAGTTTTGAATTAACCATACTGGGCATTATCTGCATACTGCCATGTGTTTGCTGGCTTTCCTACTCATGCCTTCGCTGAATATGGTGATTTATTTAAGATCTGGAGTCCTGAAGCCACAACAGCAGAGCTGATCAGAAAAAGGGAGCTGCGGCGAGAGAGGTTCACTTATGAGGTGGACTTTGAGGACTTCATGATGCCCTTTCAGAAGAACATCACAGAAAAAGCTAAAGCCTTGGAAGCCGCCTTCAAGACCTAAATCACAGCAGCTGCTTCTTGCGGTCAACATTTTGAGGCCCAGGGACCATACTTCAGAGAAAATTGGTATTTCCATCAAAGTCAAAGCAATCCACAAATTAAGAATTTGTAACCAAACATTTGTTTTTGCTCTAACAACTATAAATATTCTGAGCTATCTAGAAAGTATTTTATTTTGCAATGAATTACATATTCTGGATAAACCCCCTAATCTTCTTTAAGGATGTAGGGGAATAAATGGCATTTTCGTTATAAACATAACATTATCACAAAAAATTTACAGGATGTATGTCATTATGTTGCTAAAGTTATAATTCTAGTGGAAATTGATGAAAACAATTTAATAGTAGGGAAGAGAAGTAGGTTTTCTTTTTTTAAAGATTTTATTTATTTATTTGACAGAAAGAAACACAGCAAGAGAGGGAACAAAAGCAGGGGGAGTGGGAGAGGGGAAAAACAGGCCTCCCACGGAGCAGAGAGCCCGATGCAGGGCTTGATCCCAGGACCCTGGGACCATGACCTGATCCGAAACGACTGAGCCACCCAGGCACCCCGGGAAGAGAAGTAGTTTTAATCCATTAAGTAAGGAGTTTGTTTCTGACACACCATTGTATGTATTAGATACTGGTATGTATCCGATACCTTGGGTCAGATAAACTTTATCACCTCTAGCAGACGCTGTCAGCACTCCACCCCTTTCTCCTCTGCTTTGGGATTGAAGTAGGCCTGACTTCCATGGATGCTGGAAGGCTGCCTCTGACATAGTAGGACCCAAGTACGTGAGAATGAGAGCCTCCTGGAAGCAGCTCTCAACCAGAGACTGAACAGATATGGTGTATTAACACCCCAGCTCCCTCACTGCCCTAGTTGGATTGTTTGGAAGTGTGCATTCCTACTGATTGCTAAAGCTCCCCTGAGAGGTTAAGATCACATTGCCCACAGTGGTAATTTGATAATACACCCTTCACTGGCCACTTTCCCTTCTCTGTCCTCCCACATTTCTCCCACACCTACAGATCTTTATCAAGATCACCTCTGAAATACATATACCTAAACCCTTGTCTCAAGGTTGCTTCTGGAAGGACCCAAACTAAGATAACAACTACAGTACTAGTTATGATTCTGAGACCCCCTAGCGAAAATTTTAAAAGTGCGTTCCCTGGGATGCCTGGGTAGCTCAGTCGGTTAAGTGTCTGCCTTCAGCTCGGGTCATGATCCCGGGGTCCAGGGATTGAGCCCCACATTGGGTTCTTTGCTCAGTGGGGAGCCTGCTTCTGCCTCTCCCTCTGTCGCTCTGCCTACTTGTGCTCTCTCTCTCTGTGTCAAATAAATAAATAAAACCTTTAAAAAAAAAAGTGCCTTCCCTTATCTTCTGTTTACTATAAAATAAGCATTTCCCCAGCAAGGATGATGTGCCCCCAGGGTTTTGTGCAATTAAGAAACAGTTCAAGTGGTATTCATACACTAGCTGAAACTTTGAGCAAAATTTCCAGATGCAAAAAAAACATATATATGATAAAGAATGACCAGATATCATATGTGACTTTTTCTTAAGGCAAGTGTATGGGGTGGGAGCAAGGGAGAAGAGGGGGTTTAAGAGACCCACCATGAACCCTTACAATTGTCCACTGGGATTTAGGGCAGGGGCCTGATACTTGGAAAAGAGGTATGTCAGGATTCTACCAGAGAAATAGAACCAGTAGTACAGATAGATAGGCGATGATAGATAGATAGATAGATAGATAGATAGATAGATAGATAGATAGATAGAGAAAGGGATTTACTGCAAGGGGCTCACTTATATGACTGTGGGACTGGCAGAGCAGGCCATCAGGAAGGCCAGGCTGGAAACTCTTAGGTGAGAGGGTGAGAGCTGTCCCTGCAGTTCACAAGTGAAATCTCTTCTTCCACAGGGAAACTTCAATTCTGCTGTTAAGGCCTTTCAACTGAGAGGATCAGGCCCACCCAGATTACAGAGGATAATCTCCTTTATATAGAGTCAACCAATTGTAAATGTTAATTGCATCTATGCAGCTCCTTCACGGCAACACCTACACTTACTGTTTGACTGAGTAACTGGGTGCTATAACCTAGCCAAATTGAGACAGAAAACTGACCACTGCTGGAGGTGTACTGCTGAGTAAAAAGTGAGGGGAGGCATCACCCATACAGGAAATACAGTGAATGCTGGGCAGGAGTGCCAAAAATATCCACAGACAGAAATTCACTTTAGGATTGCCTTAGCAAAGGGCACAGACTCCAAATTACAACTCTGTCAGCCATGTATGACAAAAACCCTTTGCTTTACCCCCTCCCTCACTTTCCACCTGTGGAAGAGCCTTTAATGGAGCTAGTGAGTGGTGAGGAGGCTGGATGAGTGAGCAAGTAGCTAACCAGGCCCACTTTCCCCTGAGGCAGGCTTGAGCTGGAGTTCCTTACAAGTTGTATATTATGGAGCCTGGAGATTTGCTATTAGACAGAACTGAATTTTGTTTGTTTTATGAGTTTTGTGTGTATGTTTATTTTTAATTATTTTGAAGTTTTGAAATGTACAGAAAAGTTGCAAGAATTTTAGCTTCCATTGGCTGAACCCTCCCTCAATGCAAAGGCAAAATTTGTAGACTTCTCAATACTTTACTGATAATATACTCCGTTCTAACTCCTACTTATAAGAAGTGAAATACTATGGAGGAGAGGGGCTGAAATTGGAGGGAAAGTGGGGACATGTGCCCCTTAAGGGACAGACTTGTTTTTTGGACAACGCATTGCACAACTCCAGAAGGGTCCGGGACCATAGAATATTTTGTGAACAGTGCCCCTGGAGTTACAGCCTGTCTCTAAGTCACCTTAATGAAAAATCACATCACTGAAGCAGATTGGAGGGATAGTATTGACTCTTCTGAGGGTTATTTGGCTTTATCTTGCTAACAGCATCTTCCGAGTCATTGCAAGTCACATTGCTCCTGATACTCAATAAACTACCCAAGAACTCCATGGGCTAGAACATTTTTATAAGGAACTCAGCTCTGGTAACAAGGTCACTACTTTTGGTCACCAGCTTTTGAGGTAGGCAGCAGGAGGTATAGCTAAGGGATTTCAGAGTTCATGAAAGTGAGACCAAGAGATACCTGCTCATCTCTGTTCAGTTTCTAGTATTCCCATGTCTTTCTAGGTGGCATAGAATTGGTAGGCTCAGAATTTGCTATAAAATTCAGGCTTAATTCTTTAATAGCATCTTAGCTCTTTCACTTACTAGCTATGTGACTTGGCAAACTGACCTCTCTCAGATTATTTCCTCGTGTGTAAAATAGGGACCCTCACTCACTGTGGTAGTGATTAGTACTATTCACCAAATATTTCCAGCCTGTCCCCACACACTGTAGGACCACACTTCCTGTCCTGCCCCCTTCTTAACTAGTTGTGAACAATGAGTTGTGAGCAGAAGTGATGTTTGTCATTTCCAGGGTGGTGCTTTGAATTGCAGGTTTGAGAGTCTCTGAGCTTCACTTCCCTCTGCTGCTGGCTCTTCTGTCAGCCCAGGAGACACAGAGCGAGGTCCAGAGCTGCCTGTCAACGGACATGACAGAGAGAGGTTCTGTCATGGTAGGTCATAAGCAGCTGAGATTACAGGTTGTCAACTACTCTAATAGACTTTCTTCCTAGATTTGTGTTGAGGACACAGTGGGACAATATATACTAGGCAATTGCTCTATTTATTATCCATCACACTATAAGGTGCTAAGTACATGTATGTTTCCATCGTTCAGTCATTGTTGGCCTTCCACGTCTAAGTATTAGCATCTGTGTAGCTCTCAGGATAGGAGTTTGAGGCCTAGGATGGGAGGACACTTTAGAAGTGTCTATGCTGACATTTAATTATTCATGAAAATTACTGATCATCAAGTTTGTAAATCATATTTTCAGTTCATGATAATTGATAATATACAAGAACCTTAAGAACAACTCATAATGGCTAAAAACTAATACCTAACCTCCTTTTCAATAAATAACCACAAGCAACTGATTTTTACTCAGCTCTCACAGCTGAGTAAAATGCAATTGAGAAAAGTCTTAACTGTTTGATAAATATTGAAGGAGTGTTTAGTTTTAACTCATAATAAATACAAAGCATATGGGTTTAAAGAAGAAAGTAAAAATAAATTCTAAAATAATGCTGGATCCTACCTTTCTCTTTGCCTTTTTTCAAATATTTATGTTCTACTTATAAATATGCACCTGTATAAATTATGACTAAAGCTATTTTTACTGCTTCACACTAAATCTTTTACTGAATATAAGGAACCTTAAACTCTAGTGTATTATGTACCAAAGGATAATAGATTTAGCAACAGAAATAGTTACATTCCATTAAAAACCAACTCTATAATTCACAACTGGACCTAGGTTCTCTTCCCAGTCCAATGATATACTTAACTTCCAAAAGGTCTAAAACAAATTTTTTAGTTTTATAATTTGCAGGATCACATTTTTTCCATTTTAAATGATAGATTCTTATATTTATGTTGTTTTCCGTGGGTTCTCAGAATAAGAGCTAAATGGCTTGACAATAAGTATGATTTGAGTAAGTTCAGTAATCTCTTGATAGGAGGTGGTTTGATTATTTGACTATTCCAATTATTAGTCATGTTATTTAATTTTTAAATACTGAAATACAATTTTTCTTATAAAAGGAATACATAATCATACAGGAAAAATGCAAATTAGAAGGAATAAGAAAAACATCACCTATTATTCCAACTCTAGAGAAAACCACCATTCACCCCTTGAGGACTCTATCCCAGTCCTTTTGCTCTGCACACATTTGCCATAAAGGTAAATGCAAATACAAAATAATATATAATGTTTCTTAACCTTTGTTCCTGATTATGAATGTAATTCATATGGCTTCTTGTAGAGAATTTTGAGAATATAAAAACTAAGACAAAAACATAATCCAGGGGAAAACCACCAGAGATCACTACTATTAATATTTTAGTTCCATTAAAAGCAATCATTACATAGCTACTTGAGAGTTCACTCAAAAGGTGTATTCCACAGAACAGTCTTCAGCAGCATGATTAGATTTTTCAGAGTGCTGAATATTTATTCATTTCTGAGTTGGAGCACCTGCATTCATCATGCATTTGTAATATGGGGTAACTATACTACGTTACATCCTGATGTTACAGAGATAGAAACCCAGCCTGTTCTCACCAAAAGCTCCAGGTTTGGGGAGGATGTAGAGTAGGAACTAATTACAATACAGAGTGATTAGTGCT